GCAAAAGATTTTTTTTCTTAGTTTTCGCCATCTAGGCGTGTGATAGATAGTAACGTCCTCCCGACGTATTACAGATTTTATATTCTAAAAGTTGTATTGCCAAACTGGCAAAAATTGTTTTTGTTATCGCCAACCAGGCGTGGAGATAGATAGTAAAGTCATCAAACTGATGTGGGTAAAATTCCATTGTATTGCCTAACTGGCAAGCATGTTTATATAGTTATACCTAACGATGCTTGTGAATAGTGAGTTAAGACGTCAACCTGACGTAGTATTATAGTAATTTGTGCCAATCTGGCAAAGTTGTTTAAATAATTCTCTCCAATTGGTTAGTGCGAATTTCGTATTTGAGAAATTATGTCTCTCCAAAAAATATATATTTTTAATATAAGTAGGAGCTTTTAGATTGTATTTCAAAAGGAAGTCTTTTAAAGGTAACTTGTGTCAACATGTCATTCTTAGCTAGGAGTAAAAAACAGGATTTTGTACTAGCAGAAGAGTTAGGTTTAACCGTGAAACCTGAATTTAAGATTGCTCAATTGCATAAAATGATTACTAATAGTCCCGATTATGATGAGGAATTTACTCGAGAACTACTGGCTGCAATTAGAGAAGAAAGGGAAAGAAAAGAAGAACGCGAAAGAGAAGCAAGAGAAAAAGAACACGAAAGAGAAGAAAGAGAAATAAGAGAAGAACGCGAAAGGGAAGAAAAAGAGAAGAGAAAAGAAAAAGAAAAAGAACGCGAAAAAAGAAAGAAAGAGAAAGAAGCGAAAGGGGAGAAGAGAAAAGAAAAAGAAAAAAGACGCGAAAGAGAAGAAAGAAAAAAAAAAGAGAAGAACGCGAAAGGGAAGAAAAAGAAAAAGAACGCGAAAGAGAAGAAAGAGAAAAGAAACGTGAAAGAGAAGAAAGAAAAGAAGAGTTTGAAAGAGAAGAGCGAATTAGAGCCTTTGAGCTACAGAAACTTCAGCTGGAAGCAATGGCTACCACAGCACAGCTGGTAGAAACTACGCAGTTACCTGAGCAGCCTTTAAAAATCAGAATTCACGATGTCATGCCACGTTTCAACCCTAAAGAAGATGAAATAAGTTTATTTCTGGTGTTATTTGAGCATCAAGCTAAAATAATGAATATACCTGCTGAAAATCAAGTGACTCAACTTATTTCATTGCTGCCTCCAGACACTGTTCAGCTTATTGCTAGAGAACCAGAAGAGGACGCGAAAAAGTATGAATATGAAAAAAACTTTACTGTTACAACGATTTAAATTAAGTGCGGAAAAAAAAAATTTCGACAAACTATTTAATAAACACCAAAAATCTACTGAAAGTACTTAGTATGATTTCTACTATGAATTAAAGAATTATTTAGAAGGATGGCTTAACGGATTAAACATTAAAACTTTTGAACAGCTAAAAGATCTCATGCTGGTTGATCAAATAAAAAAAGCGTACCTCTCCTGAATTCAAAGAACATTTTATGGATCAATGGACAACCATCATTTCACCTACTGAAATGAATAGTTAAGAAAAAAATTGAAGATTTTGAAGAAGATGTGAGGAAAAACAATAAAAACCGAAATTTTCTGTCAATCAGACTGAGAAAATTAACAAAGGATCATTTAAACCGCTTTATGATAATTTTGTGTGAAAAAAATAGAGCATCCGCCTCATTTTAAGCATTCTAATAAATGGGACGATTCAAAATACCAGAAAGATCACCGACAAAGAAGTCAATTTCAAAACAAGAACCAAGAAAATTTATATGACAAAAGGTATCGACCACGTTGTTTCGAGTGTGGATCATACGAACATTTTAAGCCTCAGTGTCCTCGCTTAAAACCAAATGAAAAGATAAATTGCGTATCTTCGAATGATGATTTGTTAAGAGACATATACAATTAATGGTTTAGTAATGGGTATGAAATGAATACCTATTCTTCGAGACACAGGAGCCACTGTGGATGTTATTTCTCGGAAAATATATAGATAACGCAAAAATGACTGGAGAACATGTCTGGGTACAATATCTTTTAATGACTAACGGTAGACACACTAAATGACCATTTAGTGTGTCTACCGTTAGCGGAAGTTGAAATTAATTGCGAACTTGGTTCATATAAAGACAAAGGCAGCTGTTGTTACAAATGATCCAGGAATATATGTATTGGGTAACAAAACTGCCCAATTGTTCAAAAATAAATCATTCTTAAATTTAGAAAAAATAAATGCAGTTTTGACACAATCTCAAATAAAAAGATCTCGTGAGGAAGATCGAAATAGAGAAACCGAAATGGAGAAACTAGAAGAACCGACAAAATTAAACGATTCTCAGTGAAAAGTTCCAGATGAATTGCCAAGTTGTGGAGTTGAGATGCAAGTCAAGGAGAAGTTTAAAAAAAAAACTAAACAGACAAGAGCAAGTTGTTGAAGAAGAAAAACTGCCCACAAAGCTTCTGTCACACTCACCTGATTTCAATAAGGAGTTTATTTTGCAAACTTGATGTTTCAGACTCTGGTAATGGGTGTCATTTTAGATAGCAAAAAGATGAACGAGACAATGAACATCCAGTATTATACCTCAGTAAGAAAGTTTACAGAAACTGAAAAAAAGTATTCTAGTTGCTGTAACATACTACATAGTTGCTGTAAAAAGTACATAGTTGCTGTAACAGAAATGGAATGCGCCTCCATAATATTTGCTGTAAAAGAAACTTCAATGTTATTTAGACGGGCATAATAAATTCCTCATCATGACCGATCATAATCCCTTAGTTTGGCTCAAAAATAATGTGAGTTTAAATCCATGACTTATGAGATGGGCACTAGTACTACAACCCTACAATTACACGATCGTTCATCGAAGTGGTAAAATCCATAAAAATGTAGACGCATTAAGTCGTACTCCCTGGCCTGATTAAATAATTTGTTTATATAGATAAAAAAATATTTTGTTCCTTCCTCTCTTCCTCAGTATATCTTATATTATATCTTGTATTTCAATTCTGTATTGTGCTGATATTGTTGTTTTGAAAAAAAAAAAAAAAAAAGTAAACTTTAATTATAAAAATATAAATTAAAGTTTATCTGGAGGGGGGAGAGGAGGGTGTTATTGTAATATCTTGTTATTTAATAAATAAATATAATTATTGTTAAAATTTTGCCACTTAAGAATTGTATAAAATTTGTATATCACCGAGAACTAGAAATAAAATTTATGTTCTACTAAGAAGATTGTCTGTTTTGTAAATTACTGCAAAATACATTACAACGTCTATGAAAAAAGCGGAGGGAAAATTTGCCAAGGCATTTGGCGACGGAACCTGGCGGCCAGAATTTCCCTCTCCGCGATGTGTACAGGAAATTGAGAAACACGTGTTAAGAAACGTTCTTTGACAAAAAAAAAAAAAAAAAAAACCTACGAAAATCCGTTTTTAAATTATTGCGAAATATCCAAGAAGAAATGTTTTATCAAAGAACGTTTTTTCTTGGATTTTTCGCAATAATTTTAAAAACGCATTTTCTTACTTTTTTTTCCCCTCAAAATAACTAATCCATGAATTAATTTACTTGCGCCAAAAAAATATTTCCTTTTCCTTTAGAGTTTAAAGAAATTTTAAACAATATTCATTTTATGAACTCTTGATAACGTGACCTTCGAACTTCGACACCGGTTTCGAGCTTTGGTGACAGATATATTGCGCATGCACAGCTGTTTCCGTCTATGATGGAACGGAGCCACGTCTGTTGCAGAGAGGTTTTCCTTCTTTACAATACATATTTTTTTATTCTAACCTTCATGGTACCGTATACTAGGATTAAACCCATTTTGTTTTATACGAGAACAGGTACTTTCTTAGTTCATGCACTGCACATGCGATTCTCGAGGGTTACTGGAAACCAAAAGTTGCGGGAAAAACTTGCTTTGCCTTTCTAAAAGATAATCAAATTGGAGCTGCAAAAATTGGCTCTATGCCAGCTGCCCGACCGAATGACACTCACGTGATACACAATTCGCCAAAAAAGTGATCTCTTCTGACGTCGGCGCAAAACTCCCTTTTTTTGGCGAGGATCGTTGTATGAAATTCCCTGACTTTTCCAGATTTTGACTAAAACACTTAAATTCCCTGACCTTTCCCTGAATTTTTTGGTCAATTTCCGAATTCCCTGACTTTTTCCGGTTTTCCAGGTAGCGTAGCAACCCTGTAATCAGCTCTTTATATGAATGCAGAAAACTTAAACGTAGAGAAGAGAAATGTTTGGATTTTCTTTGGATCTTTGAAAGTTTGATATAAAAGCTATCGTGGATGACAAAATTGTCACACATATACATACAGACAGATATCATTGCAACAATAGTAAAAACATGCTGTGGGGACCCTAATTCTTGCTTATTCACTGAAAACTCAATATTGAAATTTTGGGATCCTTTATCTTACACAATTAATACTTCAATACCTACATGAGTTTTAAATTATTAATAAATGCAATATATTTACAGCCTTCAGTCTTAGGTATTACAGTTACAACGTGAAATTTAAAGATACTGCATTAAACAACAGCACTCTGGTAAATGAATAATCACCAGGCCAACATGGAAGATAAAGATCTTACACACTATACAGGGTAGTGTAAAGGAACTATAGTAAGTATAGTAAATATAACTATAGTATAGTCATCACAAAAGGTATGAAGACTCAGATACAAAAAACAACGCGGAAGAGTTTAATGAAGTGCATTCTCTTCAACAAAGAATCAAAATAATGTAGGCTTGTCCCATGTAGGCAAACAAGGCCAGCTTTTTGCATGCCATCCTTTATTTTACACAATGGCAAATCTTGCTATGTTAACAAGGATACATGGCATTATCTCACATCCAAAATTCTTTGAAATAATTCTGCTAAAGACATTTCTCACATCCCCTTCTCTCAAAATAAATAAACTAATTAAAAGGAAAAGAAAAATGACACTCACACATTCATGTATGAATACATCAATACTTACTCATTCCATAAATATGCAAAACTGTTCTGTGAGAGTGGAGGACTTTCATCTGAGCTCTGATGATATTCTTCAGCCATTACTTAAAAAATGCAACCTGAAAAAGATTATTGTTTACTGAAAGGAAAAAAAAACTTATTACAAAGTAAATTAGTTATTTATGTGAAATAACAGCTAAAGTTTACAGATTTCACATAATCTGGGATCTCATGCACAATATTCTTTCAAAGGTGTGCAATATTCATTTTCCCCCTTTATCCTTATTTAAAAAATCTGATGCAGACACCACGACTTTCTTGTATAGAATGTGAAATTATACGCATTTTTTGCTGCATATCATTTAAATTTATTTCCTTGAATTTCATTAGAGACAGATTTCTTATTCAATTAATTCAGTTTTCGCTTCACAGTAAGGCAAAAATGCATAAAACCTCAAAATATCTTCATTAAAAATTGAAAAATTTAGAAAAAATACATAAAACATCAAATACAGTTAAAACAATTTTTACAATTAAAATTAGGGTTTCTATGCAAAAACAAGCAATTCAGCCAGAAGGAAACAAGAAAGATTTTTCGGTGCACAAAACTGAAAGTTTACTTTCGGTCCCACTCGCTAAAAAAATACTGAAGGTGCAGAAACTAACTTAATCCACTATTTTGCTAAGTTTCAAACATAAACAAATATGGCTGCTATGGTTTAAAAAAAATTAGGCTTAGCCGCATTTATCCGTTGAACCGGCAAGGCCGTATATATATGTGTTTGAAAATATTGGCTCTCATATAAGCAAGGCAGCATATATGCATCTAAATATTTTGTTCCCCATAACGGCAAAGCAGTATATATACAGAAACCTCAATTTTGGCACAAAATGGCAAAGCAGCATATATGCGGCCTGTCTCAGAGTGCCCTCCCCTCTCTGCTCTTAATTTAAACTGACAGATGATAGGAAACTAACTAGTCGATAGAGGCAAGTGGGTTTTTTTTTTCATTAGGCTTAGGCTTTGAACCACTCAGATTAAATAGCTTGTTTAAAACCTCCATCTTTTCTGCGTTTATGCCAGCTATAGTAAAATTAAATGTTCATGTACGTAAACAGAATTTTCATTTTTCAGCCTAATTACTCTCCAAACTGTAGGTCATAGTTTGGCAAAATGTAATTGCAGTTACATTTAATGCAACAGTAATTGTAATTGTAGTAATATTTTGAAATAAGTGATTCCAATTATATTCCAACTGTAATCAGATTATGCAATTACAGTTAGAATGTAACTACTTTTTAATTAAGACAACAATGTATGTAATTGCATTATTCTTAAATCTAGTTACAATTATAAATTTTATTGCATCTACTTGCAATTACAATAAAACTGTAATACATTAAATGTAACTGTAATTACTGTAGCACAAATACATTAGTATCGTATTAGCTAATTACGATGTAATTTTAACTGCAATAGTTAATTATAACTACATAATTAGGAAACTAATTGCCTCTGATTATTGGAATTACTTAGCCCAATGAGATCATGATCATAATTGTAATTGTATTTGTAGTATGCAATTAAAATTACATTTGGTGCAACTCTGATATATGCCCTAATTTCACCAAATGTGGCGATATGTGTTCTGCGCTGATTTTTGGTGCGATTGCGTGTTGTATGGCAACACTGTCGACATTGAAAAATCTTTCGCTGGAGTTCGTTGGTTCACGTCATGCTCTGTGTCTGAAAAGCTAGGGGGAAAAGATAAAATGGTGGAAGTTGTTGTATTGAATTCGGCAAAAGGAAGTATTGTCGTGGCCATCCTGTTGATGAGTAGTGGGTATTTGGAGGTTCTGAAAGATTATTTTTAGTGGCTGTACATGATAGAAGTAGGGATTTGTGATTATTTGTTATTTTATTTATTTGTGAACCATAGTATGAATTTTCTGAAAAGTATGTCTGGCTGTCATATAAATACGATAGTGATTACGTGGTGGCATGAAATTGGTATTTCTGCTGTTCGAGAAAGCATTAATTCATGGTAAGTGCATTTTATTTTATTCTTGTTCTTATTTTATAGAATGTTATATTCATTGTTTTTTTAGCATGAATTTCTGTCGTTTTGTTGTTTTTTGAATGGTTTGAAATTTATTTTAGTTATTTTGTTGATTAGTGCGTACCGTCTAAATGGTGCAATTCGTAGATGTTTTTTAAAAATGAAACAGAACGCTGTATAGATGGCATTCTTTGAAATTTATTGTTGTTATGTTAATTTATTAAAGTTAGGTGTGCGTAGTTCGTAGATTCGTTTGTTGCCTAAATTGTGCAATTCGTAGATGTTTTTTTAAGTTTAAACAGGATGCTGTGTAAATGGTATTCTTTGAAATTTATTGTTGTTATGTTAATTTATTAAAGCGAGGTGTTTGTTGCCTAGATTGTGCCATTCATAGATGTTTTTTTAAGTTAAAAACATATAGCTGTGTATATGGACTCTTGTCAAATAATTTTGGTTAGAAACTATTTTGGATTTTTAGATTAAATTGTGTGTTCAAAACATGATTTTTGCATTCGCGAAAACCGAGTTTTTGGAGACATTTTAGGCTTAAAGTCCGAAATGTAAACAAAAAAATTAGATAGCAATGGCGAGAAATTTGGCGACTTGAAGGCGCATATCAGAGTAGTTCCTTACATTTTAATAACATTTTGCAATTACTAAGTAATTTCAATTACAAAGTAGCTGTTTTTAATTACAATTTATGCACTTTCATTTAAATTATACTTACACTGTATTTGTGAAATCTAATTACAATTACACTAATTGTAACTGCAGTAAGTAATTACAATTATATAATTAGGAAAGCAATTGCTTCTGATAAATGCAGTTACGTTGCTCAAGAAAATCACGATCTCAAATGCAAATGTAGCTGTAGTATGCACTTGAAAATACATAGTAATTGTAATAATATTATGGAATTATTTTGTAATTACAATTACAATGTAACTATTTTTAATTACAATTATAATTACATTTTAATTGTAAAATCTAATTGGATATACAGTATAATTGTAATTATACAATGTAATTGTAAGTACATCTTAATTAAAATTACACAGCAGATAATTGTAATTATGTAATCAAAAAAGCAACTGCCCCTTATAGTTTCTATGATATAGGCTAGGTAAATCGCGATCGTATTTGAAAATTACAGTAAATCATAGTATATCCGAAATGTTTCTCCATTTTGGCTGATGAGTTAGAATGGGAAAATCACCTATATGAAAAATATTACTATTTTCTGTCTGGAATCATCCTGCCTGTATTCCAGTTTGTGATACTGGCATAAATTGGAAATTATTTAAAGGAAGTAATATCGGCAATTTTATATAGGCTTAAATGCACATAACATTGATAAGAAAATATGTACCTTTATGATCTCATTCGACATACATTTGAATTTGAATTATAAGATTAAAGAAAAGCAAGCAAAGAGTGTATGCCTATGCAAAGGGATGCTTTTGTGGAGGATTTGTTTAGGGAACCTGGTCTTGTTTTATATATTACACAAGGAAAAAAAATCACGAAAACTTCATTTATCCTTTACTTTTCAGCAAGGGGATCATCAAGGATTAAACTAAGTCTCTTAATTTTATCCCACCGATTGCTTTAGCAAGTAAAGAAATGACTCTGACCTGTAATAAGTCTGCTTAATCGATGTTAATACACAACTCTATTTATTATTAACTGCCGCCCAGACAGGAAAGTGGTTCATGACCCCAAGTGCGATACCAAAAGATGCAGATTCAAATCTCAATAAGGCACGAATGTAATTTGTCCATCCCTTTATAAAAGGCAACGGTGGCCCGCCAGTGTTCACGGACAATACATTGGTAAGCCATGCATTATACTGAGGCTATTTTAATACTCTTAAATTTTCGTAAACTAAGTTCCACTAAGGCTTACTTGAAGGAAACTCAAAAATGATATATTTCAACATTTTGAAATGGTTAAATATACAGTACTTCTGTGTAATGCCAGTGCTCGATATATCGCATTTTCTGGTCAAATGCATGCGTTGCCTAAAACAATAAACTGTAACTTTTAAGCATCAATCGAATTAGTGGATTTTAATGAAAATAAAACTTGTGGGTATTTTGAATTACAATTTATGCTGCAAGACTTCAGCAGATCTAAGAATCAGAATCACTTTTCTAGTAATCATTTCCCTCCTCAGAAGTTCGGTTCAGTATCATTTTTTTAAGAAAATGACAGATGAAACGGGATTTAGAAATAGAATCTCGAAATCCTCAATAGTTATCTAATATTTTGTATCTGCAAATGTTTATTTATTTTGAATTTTAACCAAATGTTGAAATCAAAGCTTGAAAAAAAAAAAAAAAAAAAAAACATCTCCGTACAAACGGAAAAACTATGAATTCTTATTCTCATTCTTTTACAGTGATAGTCCAGTAAATTGTATCAGAAGATCGTACCACTGTCACATGCAAAAATTACTTATTTCAAAGATTTTGCATATTTATGAATGTAACTGTCTTTTAACAACTGATCAATGGTAGTTTGACTTAGGTTTGAATTCTGGCTGATGGGTTCATTGCATGATATTTGGGTGACTTTTAGGTTGTAAATACAGTCAAAAGTCTTTAATCCGGACTAATCGGGTCTTCGGCGATTCCGGATTATAGAGCATCAGTTTAAATCTGGTAAGATGGCATGCAGAAATTATAAAATTAAAAATATGAAACCATACCATAATTTATAAAATAAAGAGCAATTATGATCTAAAGGGTACAAAAAATTTAAAAAAAAAAAAAAAAAAAAACCTTTATATTTATTTGTTCACTTTATTAAACATTTCTTTCAACGTGTGCATGCGTAAAGCATACATTACGCATAGTCGAAATTAGAAAATTGCAACCAGAATTTGATGTTTATTCGTGATATTTATAATAACGAGGAATTTGTTTTAAATCCTATCAAAGACGGAGTGCATTGAGATGAAATACTTCATTTACTATAAGCCGAATAAAATAAAAACATCTGCCCTGAAGATAAGGATAGTGCTGACAGATCAACTTCCAATTCATTGCGCGACGCGACGACCCCTCCCCCCACAAA